GGAGCGCCTCCGCGCTTCCCAAGCGGCGCACTATCCAGTGCGCCACCGGGCCGGCCCTGCTCATGACATTTAAAAGGAAAAATTCATCACTGCTTTTTGACAGCAGTTCTTAGGGCTTTTTGTTATTTTTTTTTAATAGTCTATTCTTCTTAAAGATTTATTTTTTCCTCCCTTTTTACTCCTTTTCTCCAAAGAATGGAAAACCAAATAACCTTGAGATTTATATTAGTGAATTTCAAAAGCCAGACTAGATTTTAGAGAGACTTATGGAACAGAATAAAATGACATTCTAGTTTTAAATTTCTTTAACCATAGCCTTAATTCATTGCTTCAGTTAACCAGTATGATTGTAATCTATTATGCAAATATAACAATTATTCCATTTAAAAAATCTGATAAAATGTTGCATTCTTTATTTCCACAGCACAATAAAATGTGTTGTATGTTCCATTTTTGTTTTTTGATTTGCTTATTTTGTCTTTAATGACAACCTATTTAAGTAAAATTCTTTAAAGTGGCAAAATAACATAACATGTCTTCACTGGTAATTTAATACTTGGATATAATGAGTTCATCTGAGAGATTTCATTAAAAACAGCAAGGTGCCTCAACACCAAAGCTGAGATGTTTTTAATCACAGAATTATAGTAATTATACAAATCCCAAGATTTTCATCAGACACAAAAGGCTTCCAGGGCTAACCATGCACTTTAAACTTAGCACTAATAACTGTGTATTGTTCTAAATTACAGTAGAGAAAATCCTCAGGCCAAGGGAAATATTACAGTGTTGTGTGTTAAATTTTTAAGAAAACTTGAGAAATAATCTATTTTAATAGCATAGTGGTATCTATAAGAGGCACATCTCCTGGGTAATAGAAGAGGCCCTCCCATGTGTAGACATAGGACATAGCAGATGAATATTCAGATAAAGTCAATGAGCCTGTTATTTGCAATATCTTCAGAATGTTAGAGGAACATCTCTCTCTCCACCCAGGAGTCCTGAAGTTGCTAATTGACCGGGCTGGTCTCCTCATTCCCATCAGTAAATGAGATAGACCACAAGTAAATGAAGTGATTATTGTTCCAGAATCTGGATTTCTGGGTCAGGTGAAGACTATATAAAGAATAATATAGTTATTGTAGGGTGGGCTGGTCTCCTCATTCCCATCAGTAAATGAGACAGACCACAAGTAAATGAAGTGATTATTGTCCCAGAATCTGGATTTCTGGGTCAGGTGAAGACTATATAAAGAATAATATAGTTATTGTAGGGAGTATTAAAAAGGACAAGTTTTTATAAAATTGCAAAAGCACTGTAACCTCAGGGAGCTTGTGTTTAAGAGAAGTGATAGTAGAAAGATGCATTTAGGAAGGCTTTATAAAAATGTCCTAAACAAGAAATTTCGTTTGATCTGTTTTCCATTCATCCTTCTTTATTTATTTATTCTGGCTAAGATGGGTAGGGGAAGCCAAGGAAAGGGGATTAGGCAGGGAGAACACTGAAACAGGAGCCTGCCGTGGGGTGTGCTGGGCGGGGGGGAGGGGAGGAAGGGTGCAGGGGAGGTGGAGGCCCATCAGGTGGACTCCTCATCTGCTACAGGGATTTGGATTTGAGGTGCAGAGCAAGGGAAAGGCCCTGTGATCTGAGTATTTCTGATGAGCAGTCAGCATGCAGCAGAGGCGTGCCTGAGATTTGATTGCCTACAAGACATCATTTCTGATGTAGGTTCTTCTCCGAACCTCATTCCATGCTGTGGTACACTCACCTTCCCCTATCTGCAAGCAGAATTGGCGAGTCAGCTGGAAAAAATGTCCCCTGGTCCCTTCTGAACCTGTTACCATCACATTTATTATTTGCATATTTGAACCCCCAGAGCTTCCCACCTTGTTCTCAGGAAGCTTCTTGGAGGAGCTTTTCCACCTGCCCTGGATGAGCAGGCACAGGTGGCCCTCCGAGAAGGCCCTGCCGGTGATTTCAATGTCATTTAAAGGTTTACTTTTTCCCTTCTAACCATCAAAATATGTGCCATTGTGGAGAGTTTAGCAGATAAAGAAAAATATAGAGAAAGAGAAAAATCACTCTTAATCCTTCTACCCAGAGAGAATTACTGTTCAATTTTGCAATATTTCCTAGCCATCTTTTTTTCCTTTGTACTTAATATGTGTTATATTGAAGATGCACATTTCTGTTCTGATGTTCGAACATTTAGCAACATTTAATCATCTTTCACAGCCTTTTCCATAAACCCCACGGGAGGGCTATTGCATATTGATTGCCCTGGTGCACAGAACGGTGTTAGTCTCTCGTTAAGAGTCCCTGTCATTTGTGTCCCTTCCCAGGTCCCCTCCACACCAGGAAGGCGATGATGGGCATGAAGGTGCAAAGTCTGAGGCGTCCTTCAACGCATCGCTTCTGCCCGGACGATCACCCTTTCCAAGTGGGACAGCGGTTCCGCGTGGAGGTCGACTCCCGGGGGCAGGACGCGTTCTCGAAGGAAATGGATGCGGTCGGCTCGGGGGCCCCCCGACGCGCGCTTCCCGGGGTCTAGTCCCGGAGCTTCCGCGGGGCTGGCCGCATGGCTGAGTCCTGAGTGAGAATGGTGCGCCGGGGGCTGCTGGCGTGGGTGTCGCGTGTCGGGGGGCTGCTGGTGCTGCTGTGCTGTGCCGTGTCGGTGCTCTACATGCTGGCCTGCACCCCGAGGGGCGACCAGGAGCAGCGGGGGCTGCCGCGGGCCCACGGCCCCACGGGCAAGGACGGCTTCCAGGCCGCGCTGCAGGAGCGGGAGGAGCAGCACCGCGACTACGTGAGCAGCCTGAAGCGGCAGATCGCGCAGCTCCAGGAGGAGCTGCAGGAGAGGGGCGAGAAGCTACGGGGCGACCGCGGCCCCCCGGCCAGGAGCCAGGCCGACCTGCTGGCCTTCCTGCGCGCACAGGTGGACAGGGCGGAGGTGCACGCCGGGGCCAAGCTGGCCACCGAGTACGCGGCCGTGCCCTTCGACAGCTTCACCCTGCACAAGGTGTACCAGCTGGAGACCGGCCTGACCCGCCACCCCGAGGAGAAGCCGGTGAGGAAGGACAAGCGGGACGAGCTGGTGGAAGCCGTCGAGTCGGCCTTGGAGGCCCTGAACAGCCCTGCGGAGAGCGGCCCCCATCAGCGCCCTTACACGGCCTCGGACTTCATAGAAGGTTGGCATGCTGGTGAATTGGGGGGAAGGCAGAAGAAAAGGCTTCTGGGGTCCCCACACCGGAGGAGGCGCGCAGGGTGCGGCTGCCGGAGGCCGGCAGCTGGCTCCGGGATAGCTGGTGGAAAGTTTTATGCGAGGGACACCAAAGGTAGAGCACGGATTGTTATTTTGCAGAAACATCTGTTTCCACTTAGTTTCTTATAGAAACCACAATCATGGGGAGGCCGGCAGCTGGCTCCGGGATAGCTGGTGGAAAGTTTTATGCGAGGGACACCAAAGGTAGAGCATGGATTGTTATTTTGCAGAAACATCTGTTTCCACTTAGTTTCTTATAGAAACCACAATCATGGAGTGGACAGTTTCATGATTCCTTGGCAGGAGAAGGGAGAACTTCTTGCTTTCGTTTCCAAAAAAAAAAAAAGAAGAAAGAAAAGAAATAAAACCAAATATAAACATAAAACTGAAACCCAAATAGGATAGGACAGGCCATTTTTATTTTAGAAGTGCCTTTGCACAGACACTTCTAGGAATCAGACCTGATTAGCAAGCGCACGGATAGCAAACAGGTAGTATAGCCCTTCATGTGCCAGGCACTGTTCTAGAACTGACACTTGCTAATTCACTTTTTCCTCATAGTGACCCCATTAGGGGATGAGGAAAAGGAGGCATAGATTTATTAAGTGAATACCTACAGTTGCTCAGCTAGCAAGTGGCAGATTGGCACGGACTTGGACCCAGGAAGCCTAACTTCAGAGTCCATTACACTGTACATATTGTCAGGGCACAAGGAAACTAGCCAGCCCAATGGCTCAGCTTTCATTTATGGGCACAGGACAGCCTAGTATTTGTTTATGTCTAATTTTAGAAGACAACAGCAATGTTCAGTTTCTTGAAAGACTCATAAGTATCTTCTTATTACCTATTGTTATGGTTAAAAAATCAAGTAATAATTTGGGAGAAGTGTCTTCAAGGGCATCTAGTTCTTTCCATTGTTTCTGGGTAGGATCTACTTCAACTTGTTTAGAAATATAGCTGCGTCCATCTAACCCCACTCCCTACTTTGGTTATGTAATAACCATCTCATGGGCGTACGGTCAAGTTCTAGTAATATCAAAACCCTCCTGCTGTTTCTGCCTGTTCCCTTTGGGCATTTTCCCATTCTTATGCTTTCTTCCATTTTATATGTGAACCATAAATTCATGCAATTTTATTGTAGAATCATTTTTCAAATACCTAGAGCCAGGCAAAGAAATCTTTTATAAGATCAAGCTTTTGGTATGAGGATTTGAGGTTTTTTTTACTCATTTATATGAGATATTAAAAAGGCCTAGAACATTTGGCAGCTAACCAATATAAGCACATGGTGAGCACTCAATAACAGTTTAAATATAATGATGCAACATCACATTTTATAGTGCTTTACAGTTTGTGAAGCATTTCAACATATATTGTCTTACTAGCTGACCTCCAGGGACAATCATTGAACATCATTTAAAAAAAAATCCTGGTTGTCACCCTCCCTGGATTATGCTACATAGAGCTGCCCACATACAAAGCAGTTTCAAAAGAACTTGATTGCAAATCAATGCCTGCAGTTTGGAATGCTTGCCCTGGTGATTTTCAATCAGCATTCATATTTGAAATCTCTGTCTGCTTTTCTATGTACTATGTCTTAATACATAAGGCCTATGTTTCTCAATCAGCAGTAACACCAGCCTCTTCTCCCTGAGTTTATTTGCTCTGAGATTTGGCTTTCTACTAGAGACACTGGTATCATAACTACCCAACATTGCTTTCATGTACAGCACACAGCTGATATTTTAGGCAGATCAATCCACATGTATCTTACAAATTTGGTGAAAGTCTAATCAACTGTTTTCATATGATAAGTAAATAAAGACAAACAATTTAAATAAATTTATGCAGATTTGACTGTCATAAACAGCACGGTTTATTTCATTTTTAAACATTCTTATCAATAACAAAGATTATGGAGGCAATCTTTTATATTCATAGGAAGCAAGGCATTATGAAAGATTCTACTAGGCAGAGGAAGGTTCAGGGAGGTAGAACTAAATGCAATATAAGGAATAACTTTGAAAATACCATAGTAATGTTTCAGAACAAAGTGGGATTCCTGCCACTATAAGAATTCTATCATCAACTGGATGACCATTTGGCCAGTAGATTATAACTCATGATTTTAGCACCAGAGAGGTGGTTGGACTGAATTACATCTGAGGACCTTTTCAATCCTGGTTCATGATTTTTCGATCTATACCTAGTTAAGGAGAAAAAAGGAATGGAAAAGGTCTGATTTGAGATCTGTCTTCCATAATGAGTTAGAGCAAGTGATAGGACCATATAACAGTGAAACTAATCTTTAAAGTAACTTATTTGGGTTTCTAAACATAACTTTAGAGAAAGTGACTTTGTGTCTGAGGTTTTAGTAACCCAAAACTTGGACCAATTTAGCAAAAAGTTCATGGGCAATTTTTAAGCTAGAAACGGGAGATTTCTAAACAAAGGCAACACGTTTTCTGAACCCTGAACTAATAAGATAAAGATGGGGATTCTTTGTTTTTAAAGAAATAATAATGAAAAACTGTGGAATGTTCCAGATGATAATAGTTATGTTAAACTTAAAGCTAACAGTGAGGTGAGTGGCATGACAACACAAGCATGGGGAGCTATGTGACTTTGACCAAGACCCCTAAGCTCCTTTAGACTCAGTTTCCATGTCTGTCAACAAGAGGCTTGACACAGATATCCCCCATGACCCTACCCAGCCCCAAGCTTTGGACCTATCTCATTTGCAAAATACAAAGCACTGCTCCAGCTTCTTTTCTTTGCAGCTTTGCCAAGCGGCCCTCAGAAATGCCATCAGCCATCAGCCATCTCTGAGGGCTGCTCTGTGATTCCCCCTGCTGGGTGGCCCAGGACAAGCCACCTACCCTTCAGGATACTTCTCTATAAAAGAAGGAATTCAGGTAGATTATTATCTGTCTCTAAAACACAGAGGGAATGATATTTGCCTCCTTTTCTCTTTTCCCAGATGCTTCATTGGCACTGATTTTGGTGTTAGATCTTACATAATAGCACTATTTTTTTTACAACCATCTGGAAAAGGAAGTGAAGGTAGAAGGCACAGATCCTGTGCCTTAGGATGCCTGACTGTTTTTCTCCTCAAGTCAACAGAAAATCCCCTTCTTTATGTTCGTGTCTCAGTTATTCCTTCAGTATGGGATCTAAAGACAAATGTGGAAATCTGAGCAGCACATCTATTGACTTTGATTTCAAATTTTTAAATAGAGCTCTTAGACATAAGTTTGACATCCTTCCATAAAACAGTTTAGCGTTCTGAATTATTCTTTTACAGTGCAGACATCTGAGGATGTGATTCCTGTGCGAGGCATATTTTCTACTGTCTCCATGGTGCAGCTCAGTCTCCTCCAGCTTCTACAGGCTTAGTGGTATGGCAGGAGCCAAAAGACTTGATCCTGGGGTGAGATGGAGCCAGGCTATAATCCCCCAGAAGGTGAAGGTTTTGAGGCTGCTATGGTTTGAATGTGTCCCCTCCAAAATTCAGTTGTTGCCAAGGTGGTGGTATCAAGAGCTGGGGCCTTGAAGAGGCGATTAGGCCATGAGGGCTCCTCCCTTTTGAATGGGATTAAGGCCCTTATTAAAGAGGCCCTTCTGCCCTGTGGGGATACCACTTTCCTCCCCTCCATAGGGCGCAGTCCTCACCAGACACCTGAACCTGCTGGCACCTTGAATCTTGATTTTCTAGCCTCCAGAACTGTGAGAAAATAAATTTCTGTTCTTTATACATTACCCAGTCTGAGATATTTTGTTGTAGCAGCACAAAGTGGTCTAAGACAGAGGGAACCATGAGATATGATTTAAAACAAGGAGACATGGAGATAGCTATAAAAACTTCGCAGCGGGTGCACATGACATCCCAGCCTCCCGCACTCCACAACCAGGACCTCATAGGGATGCTGAGTTCTTGGCTTCCAGTTTGTGCAACACCAGGTCACCTCTAAGGGACACTCTGCTGCCACTTTCCTGAAGCTTCTCTGGCCAAGTCAGATCCAGGTCTAGGTCCTGGTGCCTGGCGATCGGTGTGCCAGTGTCATAGCAGACAGGAAACGGGCCCTGTCCTTAGCATGCATTGCAGCATCAGGCTGCTCTGTCAACAACTTTGTGACTCAGTGTGGACATGATGAGACAGGCATTCAGGTGCATTTCTGGGCACCTGGGAATTGTGGTGCAGAAGTAAGCAAAAGTGGGAATCCTTCACAGGAGATGGGGCTCTCCTGAGTTTGGGGTGTGGTGGGGAAAGACTCACTGGCAGGCAGGACAGCAAAAGGACATCAGGTCCCGAGTTAGGCAAAATTCTCAAAATTCTCAGCTGTTGTCTCCAGGAATGCAAGTGTGGCAGAACTTGGGACAGTCTTGTGACCAAGCCTCACTTCACTGTGTGCTGGAATGACCATGCTGGTGTCCTGTGAAGTCTGGAGCAGGCCCACGTGATGCTAGCTTCCCTGTCACCTCACCCATCCCCTCCATCCCACGACCTCTCTCAAATGTCCTCATTTGTTTGCTGATGATTTAAGTTCTATAAAGGAGAAATGCTAATGCTAGCTTCCTCTGTCACCTCACCCATCCCCTCCATCCCATGACCTCTCTCAAATGTCCTCATTTGTTTGCTGATGATTTAAGTTCTATAAAGGAGAAATGCTTTTCATTTGGAAATTAGAGGTAAGAGGCTTAAATGCAAATAAATGGTTTGAGGCTACACTTTGTAGAATGGACACTTCCTGTGGTGATGGTAGTGATGGCAGGAAGCCAGCCCTAGTCCCTGCCACCAGGGCCCTGCTACCGGAACAGCCCCATGCTAGACCAAGTGTTCTCACGGCACAGAACACTTTGAAATTCTTAATAGTTTTTGAATAACGGGCCCCCTATTTTCATTTGGCACCAGGCCCTGCAAACTGT